GAATAATCATATCCAAGGACCAGTGGTGGGTTTCAAAAATTTTGGAACCTCTTCTGTAGGGGTGGCCTGCTTTCCGGGTCCACTGGTGGAATCTCTTCTAACCGGTTTGGTAGACTTGACGAACCGGTTCTACCGAATAGGTGTGAACTGGTAGGAACCCACCTCTGAATTGATGGCATCTAAAATGTGCTAAGCCATGGTTTGCTAAGCAAGCCACAACAGCCTGCTGAACACAATTTCAAGCCACGAACCATGGTTTTCCAAAATGTCTGGATTTAACATAATTCATTAGATCTTACTCAATAAATAAGTTACTACAAACCCTGATTAATTATTATATATAAATACATACCACACATCTGTCAAATGTTTAAAAGCCTCAAGATTTACTATCAAGGGTCAGGTAGGAACTGGATCTCCTTAGAATTAAAACAGGATGACACAGTGCTGGGGAATCAGTTTTGGGTACCAACTAATCTTGGAATAGTTGATGGTTTTGTTATATTTTTGCCATTTTTTTCAAATTTAAAAAAAATGAAGCTCAATAGATGCTATCATTGCCTATAAGATCTTTGTCTACCGACAAGAAACAATTCTGGCATCAGATAGTCTTGGAAGGCTATTTCCTCATTCCAGTAACTTGGCCACTGATGTCAAAATTATTATTTTTCTACAAGTTTCTGAGAGTGAACTAAAAATGTGGTGAGAGGGTGAAAATTCACCTATCAAAGATAATTTTTCAATGCTTTTGTTTATTTGTAGCCCTAGAAGAGGAATTCCGACTTCATCCTAGTGACTTGAAGGTGACAAATGGGAATTCGTGGTTCTTGGAGTGTGTGCCTCCACTGGGACATCCTGAGCCCACCATCTCATGGAAGAAGAATGGAGTGCCCTTAAGTGCAGAAAATGGCCATTATGAGGTAGCCAACTAGAACCTACCTCTTATTGTAGTCAGCATCTAGATTTAAGTTGCTTAGAGGCAGGCTAACAGAATACAGAGTTGGATGGGACCTTGGAGATCAACTAGAGCCGAGGTGGCGCAGTGGTTAGGGTGCAGTACTGCAGGCCACTTCAGCTGACTGTTATCTGCAGTTCAGCGGTTCAAATCTCACGGCTCAAGGTTGGCTCAGCCTTCCATCCTTCCGAGGTGGGTGAAATGAGGACCCAGACTGTGTGGGGAATATGCTGACTCTGTAAACCACTTAGAGAGGGCTGAAAGTCCTATGAAGCGGTATATAAGTCTAACTGCTATTGCTATTGCTAGTCCAACCCCCTGCTCAAGCAGGAATCCCAATACCATTTCAGATAAATGGTTTCACGATTTCTTTTTTTAAAATCATCCAGTGTTGGAAGCACCTACAACTACTGGAGGCAAGTTTTTTCACTGATTAATTGTTCCAACAGTTGATTAATTAATTAATTAATTAATTAATTGTTATGACCTTCTAAAATGAATGAGACAAATTGGTAATGATTAACAGTCTCAATTACAGTAAATGTATAGAAATCAATGGGATTTAAATGGCTGCATTACCACATCATAGGTACTATAAACAGAAGTTAATAAAACACCATGGCTTTCTTAATGTACTAAATGGTACCCTCACAAACCGTAATGACGGTTTAAGCCTGCAGGGGTGTCAAACTGGTGGCCCCACGGGCTGGATGTGTCATGTGCAGGCCACGCCCAACGCAGTTCCACGAACGGGAAAACTGTCACGAAACGTCATGTGACGGCAACGTCACGTGGCACCATAAATTTGACACCTGTGATTTAAGGCAATAGCCCGATTCTCACACAACATGTTAAGACAAAGGCAATTTTGGGAGAAGTTGCTGAGGTAACTTTGGAGATTGTGCACCCTCGACTTATCAGTTGTGTTCTTCTAATTTTGAAAATAAAGAGAAATATTGCTAAATCCTCTTTGACGAATAAACTTTCCTTTCCCAAGACATAAAAAAATAAATCAGGATTCTTTTCTTCAACTGTCCAATAAGGTCATTATCTCCTCTGGTATTCCAAATTCTCTCCTCCCCCCCCCTTGTATTTCTGCAGTTCTCGAAAGAAAAACTTCTGGTAGCCCATGCTCAGAAGAGTGATGCAGGAGCATATGCCTGTCTGGCTGTCAATCAAGTAGGAGAGCAAGTGAGCAGAGCAGCCATGGTCACTGTCTTTGGTAAGAAAGTCCACAGGTGAACCATTAAAGTTCACCTAGGCTTTGTTTTGCCCTTGAAGGGCTGTTATTTAAGGCAATTTGGAACAATGCATGAACATCTCCTTAAGATGGCCCTTATTAACTGTCAGCCTGCCGAAATGGGACTGAGGAAACATTCTACTTCTTCCATTGTAGAGAGGCCAACATTCATCCGGAGACCCAGTGATGTTGTAGCCAGTGTTGGCAGTAGCGTTCAGTTCATTTGTGGAATCCGTGGAGACCCCAAACTTGTTGTGCAGTGGTATAAAGAAGATGGAGAGCTCCCTCCAGGGAGGCAAGTATAACTTTCTGGATTGTGAAGATGAGTTCCAATTCTATTCATCTTTAGAGTTGTAGGTGAGACAATGATTCTATAACCATTCTTCAGAACCCACCACCTTGGCTGGATTTATTTCTCAGGCGTTGCCCTTGGGGCACCAAACTTTTGTCCAATAGATTCATGGGGTAAAAGATGGTCTTAGGCAGGACTGGTCCTCCTTACTTCCTTACTGCAAATCATCATCATCCCGCAAGAAGTTTAGGGATTTTTTTCCTTTGCCATTTCATTCTCACAAGAATTCTGAAAGATAAATTGGGTGGTGAGATACATTCTCAAACAAGCTTCACTGGAGAGAACAGTGCAGAGTATTATTGTCATTTTCATTTCATATATCCCTGCTATTTCTTTGTAAGAAGATCAGAAATGTTTAAGAAGATCAGACAAGACAGCTATTACAATAAAGAACAAACAAACGAACAAATCAAAATTCACAACAAGCCAACATAAGAGAATCCAGGGACATTTTTAGCTAAATGCAAGCAGTCGGGTATCGTATGGCTCTCCAGATTTCTTCTAAGAAAACCTAACTCCTTGATAGAAATCTTCATCAATTTATGCAAGCATGAATAAAGAATTGGAGGGTCTCCCCTCCCTCCACACATACTTCATATCTTTAAAGTCCTGGTGGCAGAGTGATTAAAAGGCTAACTCTGCCCACAGTCTGGAGTGCAATCCTGATAGGCTCAAGGTTGACTCAGCCTTCCATCCTTCTGAGGTTAATAAGGTTATAGGGGGCCATATGCAAATAATGCTTCTACATTGTAAACCACCCAAAGAGTGCTGTTAAGTTCCATGGGGTGATATATTAGCCTGTGCTATTGCTAAATTCTATATCATGCACTAATATATATATATATTACAACCCCCGGTATGCCCAAATATGGGAGGAAGATCACTACTTCCATTCTCTGTCCTTCGGCTCGTCACAAGAGACCATCCAGACAGAAACCCAATATTTTTTTTTAACTGTTGCCTTTTTGTTACATTTGTTATATTTGTGCTGATAAATAGTCTCCCTTTATTTATTTATCAGCACAAATACAACATATATATGTAAAAGGCAACAGTAAAAAAAAATATTGGGTTTCTGTCTGGATGGTCCCTTGTGACGAGCCGAAGGACAGAGAATGGAAGTAGTGATCTTCCTCCCATATTTGGGCATACCGGGGGTTGTAAAATATATATATATATATATATTTTTAAATAAATAAATAAATAAATAAATAAATAAATAAAT